TCTTTGCCTTCCAAGTTCTGTAATGCAAATTAAGATACAAATGATTTTTTCCATCTTGTAACTATAACTTAAAATGTTATTCATTTTCACAGACAGAAACAAATAGAAACCAATGTCTGCCTGGGGTGGTAGAACGCGCTCCTGTAACAGTAAAGGGGGGGGTCTAGGTGGGATATGAAAGGCATCTGACTCTCTCAGCAGGGCTCCTGGGCTCATCAGCAGTGCAGTAGGAAGGACAAACGGGGCACCCCCCTAACCTCCTGCGCACACCCCTGCAGACGACAGCAACAACTGCATAATCATGTACTTGTTCAGAGTACACATACTGTTTGTATATAGCAGAAGCAGCAGCCTGTGCAGTGACTTGAAAGTGGAGCATATGTATTATTTTTGACAATTAGGACAAGCCCAGTCTTTTCTTATCATTCATAACACAGAGTGCCTGCCAATAATGGGAAGCATTGATGCAGAAATATTAGGCCTTGCCAGTAAATGATAGATTAAGGTCAGAAGATGATGTCAGTGCCATTCTTCTCTGTTCTCTCATTTCCTGTAATCTCAAAAGTATTTTTCTTAACCTCACTATTTTTCAAGTTAATCGTGTTTGTGTGGTGACCACTTTTGACTATGAATTATTGAGCTTTGTACAAGTATATGTTACATATTTAAAAGGAAAGTTAATGTTGACCTTAGTGTTTGTGTGTCCCGGTACTTTGTCCTTATCTACCCCTGTAGGCGCAGATGGATCAGATCCTTTGCAGTGCTGTTTCTGTGTTGTGGCATTTTTGTTTTAATTTTCCTCCAGAGTTTTATCCTGAAATGTCTGTTGAATCCAGTGGCTGGCCAGTACTGTTTTGTTCTAGCTTTAAGAAGATAAAGAAATTAACAGATTAAAAGATAAATATCAGTTTTCTAAGTTTCACTTTTCAGATATGTAGCATTTTGAATATTGTTGAGAAGGTAAAGTTGCCACATGATTAATCGCATAGTTTTCCAGTTGCATATATAAAAGTGGTGCTTCATACACAGTGCATGTCATTTTTAGAACTTTTATTACATCTTAGATCCACTAACACTGTATTTTGATGTTCTCTGTTTTATGTCGTGCTGAAATGAAAAGTTTGTTTTAATCCATATAATGTGCCTTATCAGGACTTTCTCACCCTTCAAGTTCACAGTTTGTTCCCAGTGACCTGTAACTGACTGACTCTTCAACTCGGGGTTATTACTGAATGAAATCCCAACTTGACATTGCATCTTATCTGAATGTCAAATCTGTCACAGTCCTATTTTCTGAAAAAAACTTTCCCTTTGGTTCACAGCTTTATTGTTACTTTAGTTTTTACTTGTCTTCTAATGGTTGTTCTTGGTCTAAAGCCAACAAGAAGAGCCAGATAGTGTGAAAATTTAGAAGAAGCTTTGTGTTTAACTTGGGATAAAAGCTAACATTTTTGTAACAGATGGAAAAATCCAAAACTGGGGATCCAGTGTCACAGTTGGGATGCTTCTCATAACCTCTCAGGTCCTGGAAATCTTCTTAATGCATTCATTTAGATCTAGCAACAGTAGAGCAGCAGCCTAGTGATGGGACATAAAGCAGAAGCCCACTAGATCCTCTGGTGAGTCAGATTTGGTTTAAGGTTTATAAAAAAAAAATGTACTCCTTAGCTCATCTGAAGGCCTGACAGTCTGTCGATGGAGCTTCTTGCGGGTTTTTAGGATTAGTTGAAGCGTGCAGCAGACGTTCCCCAGGTCAGAGGGGGCCGTATTGTTTGGAAAGCTAGTGCCTCACTTGACACACATGTAAGCGTCAATTAGTGTCCCTCTGCAAACCAAATTTGCCTGACTTCCTCATCCATGACCATGTACTACAGTTCAAAATGAAAGCTGTTGATGGAGGCCAATAAAAAGAATCTCACACCAGAGTTGTGAAAGACTGGTTTTACAATGGCAGCTTTAAAGTCATCTGTTTAAGAAGTCCGCTCTTATTGGGGGTTTGGCTTTTAGTTCTTCCAATTACGAATTCCCTTTTCTAGACCACCTTATTGCTGAGACACAGGAATATAGTTCCACAGAGCAGCAGCATGACCATCCAGATGTTTGCAAAGGCTTTAACCAAATCTCAGCCACATTTGTGCAAGTGAAAAGCAAACTCTAATGTTATAACTGAACATAGTTTAAATCCAGGCTAACAACATTTTTACCACAAACAAGCCGACAGAGCCACATGTTTAATAGGACTGGAGGAGAGCATTATCCCGAGAGGAGACGTGAGCAGAGAATCAGTGTGAACAGTTAGGAAGTGATGTGGAGTTGAGTGACACGTGAAAAGATGGCTCCTGTGCAGCCTGCTCGCTGACGCACACTCTCGGCCCAGCTACTCAACACATCACTCCTCTGGTTCTCCTCTCTCTCTCCTTTAACAATCATTCTCACTCCTGTGTCGTCAGCGATTGCTTTAGACAACACGGCATTTACAGTACAAAGTTCTTCATATTTAAAGAAAAACACCTGCACATGGAGTTATTTATACTAGTGAAAGACTGTATTTTAATCAGGTACCCAGAAAAGCACCTTACAGCATGGTCAGAGAATCTTTTTTGAAATTATAGTCATTTAGATGGTTTCTCTACAATGAGAAAATGGACCTTTTACTGCTCACGTGTTAGTCGATATTCATTTATCTGACAATACAGACAGAACACGCCGAGAACAGGTGTCCAATAACCAGTGAGACAAAGTAAAGACAGCGATCCCATAAAGTCTGACATGCTAGTGAAACAGACGCCAAAGCCAAAACTGGGCAGGCTGCAGCTCTATGTGAACGCCAGAAGGCTCATCACCAGTCCTCGTACTCAAACTGTGCTGCTTGAAGGGTTTCCTCCAAAACAAAAGTGACATAAGGTTTCAGGAGTTGATCTGCTCATTTGTTGCACTTCCTCTTCAAATTTCCGCATTTTGACTCGTGTAACAGGGTTTTGTTGTTCCATGGGATCCATGTATTACTTGTATTGGTTATGTCATAAAATACATATATATTAGCTGATTCTATATTTTTTGTTATGTTAAAAATTCATATCGATTATATTATTATATATTGTTATCACTGTTATTACTATTTGGGGAATTTAACTCAATAAGAAGTTTGTGTTTCTCCACTGATTATTATTAAAGCATACTGATCTTACCCTCCCTCACCAGCTCCTTGTGTGGTTTATTTAGATTGTGTTTATTGATTTATAGGCTATTTATTTATTTTACAAAGTGGTGTTCAAAGTCAAAGTTTCTATGAAAAGCAGACACTGGACAGCTGTTAGATTTTAATTGTGTACAAATCTAATTGTAAATCTTATTTTTGTTTGGTGTCAACATTAAAAATTTACTAGACATGTAAGTTTTGTTAATACTGTACTGTTCAGTGTTTGTTAATTCTGAATCTGTCAGAGTTAAAACAAAGGTTCCATTTGGTTCCTAGAAAAAAAGAGATTTTGGAGATATGATTTTTTTTTTTTTACCTCACAACAGCTGTATTTAAGTGGTAGTATGAACTACACAGCTTTCAGACAAATGCTGGACCAATATTATTCTCTCAAATGTAATGAAGGAAAAGTCTTCCAAAATGGGAATATACACTCAGTGGCCAATTTATTAAGTACCCCTGTATACACTTCAAGTGCAGTGATTAACACCTTAACATCTGTGTTTATGAAGCTCAAAATGTTTCAGTTTTTGGTGAAACTAAGGTATGGGTCAATATGTGGAGGTTTTAAACTTCTCAGTATCTGACCCTCGGCTAGATCTGTTGTCAGAACCTTGGCATGGTTGTGATGTATCTGATGGGTCTGGTCTGCTTCCCTGCTGTATGGAAAACATGTTCCAAAGCTTTAACAATGGCAAAGGTGTCTTTGTCATTGTGCTTCTTGTTTACGTTTTGGACTGTGACGCACATCCTGTACTTGCCTTGGACAGTTGGCACAAAAAGACCAAAACTGGCACACAATCACAGAAATAGACCCAGTCTGCTACCTGAGGCCTCTTGCTCAAGTAGTGGTGGCTCCGGTTTGTTTTCAAGGGAACAGCCTGAATTGAGGATCACCTGCAGAAGCAAACAAAGCATTAACAAATCAACAAGTCAAGAGACTATAGTTCAAATAGTTCAAACTTTAAAGTAAGCAACTGTGACTGGAGCCCTCTGCTAAGGGCCCTGACAAAAAAAAAACTACCCCAAATAAACAGCACACACAATAGCAAACTGGTCAAATGTCTGTTCAACATTTATTATAAACTGCACCTGAAAACTCTGCAAAGTCTACAGCTACAGGCCCCTGTGCATACATTCTGCAAGGGCAGTCTGTACTTGTCATGCTCAGAGCAGGACCTGTCTGAGAAGAGGTTCCTATTATAACCTTTGACTTTACTCTACACTGCAGTGATACCATTGGGGTTTTATACTATGTGTGTGAGAAAGTGACAAACCACCATTTCAGTGGATTTATTGATTCACTTGGCAGCTCTCATGTATCTATTGCCTCTGTACAGGTGCCACCTAGGAAAGCTTCCAAAATAATCAGTTTGACTGATGTCAATCCACAGCTGTTTGGGCAAAATTACCAAAATGGTTTCATAAACTATGTTTATGGACTCTGCACATTACATTTGGGACTGGTAACTGAACTGATGTTTGATCCAAACGGTTCTCTTTAAATTAGAACCGTTTTTAAAATAAAGAAAAATAATAGAACAGAGCACTTCAAACACCTCTAGTCAAACCAGATCCCAATGCTTAGGGCAATGGCTATTTTAGAACTTGCTGGCACGGGGTGTTGCACTGTCAAGTGCTGTGCCAACGGATCTGCCAAAATAACTCAACTACTTTACGAGCTTTTTATGCGCCTCTTCCTTCCTCTGCAGGAAGACAGGAAC